GGGGGGGGAAGAGTGTTGTTTTTGTTCGTTTGGTTGTTTTTGTTAATTATAATTTTATGTTGGTTTCTTTTTGTTAGCTTTTTTGTTGCTGATCTTGTGCACGAGTAAAACAATGCGAAATGTGTCAGACGGGGAAAACACAATGCCATGATAAAACAAACCCATGGGTCGCCACCGCTGGGAGAACGAGCAATGCTTTTGTTGCAAGTTCACGTTAATGGCAATTGTTACTTTATTACAGACTTGGTAAACAGTGACCGCTCATCTCATTTCACTTATGATTTGTGTAGGAGTTGTGGGCGGGGCTTATGAGTTATGAGGGATCACACACATACCTCACCAGCAGCTGAACATTTATTGTTGCCTGTTGGTCAACAGTGGGAGGGGCTTATGGAACATGATTGGTAGAGCAAGGGACTGTCACTATCTTACAATAATGACAGATGATTGGATTATGACGGCCCGTCCACAAAGTTAGGGGCCAATACATAATTTATGACAAAACATTGGGCAATGAGAGAGGTGGCCGTCTAAGACAGGTTTTATTGGTTGGTGTGTGATGAAATATAGTGTCCACGGTCGCGTTGGACAAGTGACCGTTTTATACAGTGAAATTATATAGAAAATATGCAAGGAATGGAATGGAAAGTGGCCGTTTGTACAGGTGACCGTATTATACTATTATACAGGTGGTTGTCATGGCTGGTTCGACCGTATTTGTCTTTTTCTGTCTCATCAAATGCTTACTCTCAGTTCTTTGCAAGTTCTGGGCTTATAGACTGTATATATAGATAGTCACTCGTGTGTATAAAAATAAATTATATTTTTGTCTTTTTCCGTCTCATGAAGGGCTTACTATCTCAGTTATCTGCAAGTGAAGGATGTCTTTTTACGGATGCTCATAGATTTTTCTATTTCAAAATATTTGGGGATAAAGCTAGAAGAAATTGTTTTGTTTTTCTTTTCCCGCCCGTGACACGATTTGTTTTGTTTTTACTCTCAGGCTGATCTTGGGAGGAGACAAAATGACGTCTTCCTTTTTCATCCAAGCTGAGAAAACTCTTTTTTTCTCAAGACTAGACAGAATGGTGGAAAGAGAATGGAGAAATTTGTTCAAGACATTGGAGAAATCCTTCATGCACCTCAGTGGTAAGTCTGAAATCTATTCATGCCTTTCTTTGTCGGAATAAGGGACACCCAGTCCTGGAAAATTTATTCTCGCAACTCTCATGGTTTTTGTTGTTATTAATCCAGTAGTGAGGCAGCGTGGTGAAATCAGGCGCTAGTCAAGATAACGAAATCAGGGAAAAGGCATTTTTCCATAAGTTTGAAAATTTTTTTCGATTTTTATTTTTTGGCTCAACCCCATTTATGTCCTTATAAAAAGACATTTCCATGTGAATTTTACTGCAAAACATTGATTAAAGACACAAAATATGCCAGTTTTCCTTTTTCAATGACTCTTTAGCTGTTGGAGTTACCAAACTTTGGCAGCCATTTTCTCGCTAATTTCACCACTGAAACCAGGCGACCTCGCCTCCTTCAATCCAAAATATTTTGACTTCTATTCAAGATAGATGGACTTTTATTTCATCGTAAGAAAGGCAAATGAAACAGTTTCAGATGATACCAATAACTCCAAATGCCCAAAAATTGACGAGCGCCTGATTCCACCACGTTGTGACACCATCGAGGATCCTGTAGTTTGAGACAGATTTACTTTTTTCCGATCCAGTAATTGAGACATTTAAAGAGGGGATGTTGGACTGTTTTCGCGATCTTTTTAAACAGATGTTTTTAGTTACTGACTTTCATAGGAATGTTTTTACTGGAAGACATTTGTCGGAGAAAACTGCGATGCACTTTCTTGTGCTGTCTCATGAGCTGCCTTTGTTGCAAGTTTACTCATTTGCGCTCGTCTCTGAAGCGGAAAGTTCGGGTTCGAGCCTCGATTCGGACCCATATTTTTTTAGCCCCCTCCTGCCACCCAGCGATAATGGGTACCTGATTTCGAGTTGGGGAAGTAAAGGCAGCGTGGAAAGGAACTAGCCACCCTAGGCCCAGGAAGTTGTATTACTAACAAGGCAGACCCCAATGTCCGGATCGGATGCGGGAACAACTTCTCCTCATTTGGAATATAATTTATAAATGCTGAAGTGATACAACTCTATAATTTCATCATCACATTTTTAATTTGTGTGTGTGTGGGGGGGGCTGCTACTTGTCTCTGTGTCCTTTAGTCTGATCATGTCCAAGTTCTATTTCTTTCACTTTCAGCTGCCCAGGAATGCACAACCGCAAGTCAGCATCATGAAATGGAGAACTTACAATATATCTGCCTGGCGCTGAAAAGCCAGTTTCTGAGGTGGACAAATGTTGCGTCAGAGATATGCCAATGTGAGACCCAAGAAAAGATTTCCCTGCCTTTCCACTGTGTTTTTGGGCTGGTCGCTTCTAGACAAGTGGAACTGGACAAGGTAAACTTTGTGATGCGTGCTGGCAATCCAGGTTGTTTTGGGGGTTTTTGTTGTTGTTTTTTTGTGGGGTTGTTTTTTTTTGGTTTTTT